GGCTGTGTTCCATAGTTAATTATGTATGTTATGTCAAATTGCCAGAGGGTAGTGGTTGGCATATGACAAGCATATGATGTAAATATATGTAAATATGACTCTAAAATACATGAAAATACCAGAGATTGGCTGCTAAACATGATTGACCACCCCACCACTTCAATCAAGTGTTTGTTTGGTCAATGCTGATGAAGCAGATTGGACGGTTCATTAGCGAACAGAATGAAGGAATCATTGACTGCTTGTGTAAGATCCAAGTCGACTTGGCAGGTGGCAGAGCTGTACAACTGTCCTGTTTGATTGTGGACGTTCATGCTCAGATCCAAAGATCAACCATACAGACATAACCATACCAAATTTGAGCCAAATGGATCCAAACGGAGGTGTTCTAAAATGGGGGTACCTCTAAATCATGCATTTTGATAGGAATGTCCATTGTAAACCATCCATGTTTTTAATTTTTGGGTATCCCCAATTAAGGAAACCCCAAAATATGACCAGATAATTTGACGTGAGTTTTCAATTTTGCCAGGCGCGTGCAACTGTCCAGAAGGTTGGACCAAGCAGCTATGGATGTGGCTGCAAGCCGCCAGGCGGCTGAAACTGCTACAGCTCAGGCGTCGCATGGGGCCACCGATGCCACTGATCAAAAACATGTGTCTGTGAAAGCTAGAGTGCCGCAGTTTCCCATGTTTAATTTATGTTTTGAGGCACACATAAGTACACTCTTTAAAAAGGGATGAACTATATGAATTGAAAACCACTGGGATGTTGAAGATTTGGAATATATGGAATATATGGAATATGTACTCTACAGATCTCTACAGACCCTTGAAGTAATGGTGCAATTGCCAGATCTAGGTGGCCGCTTTGAGAGCAGAGCTTGCAGCCATCATTGGGAATGGTGAAGAGGCCTGGATGAGATTTGGTCGCACCATTGCTGGATATTCATGGCATTTTAAAAGCATTTTATAATGGGATAATAATGGGACAATGATGGGGATAATATTGTCAAAATATTTAGCAACATGCAGGAGTTCAGTGACTTTGCAGGTCAAACCAAAGTTTGCAGCGGAGGACCAGGACCAGTATCAAGTTGCACATCCCGTTGCGACGCCATGATTTTCGCTGCCAGGTCCGCCACTGGCCGCAGCAGCTAATCTGATGGCTTAGGATTCTGCTCATGAGAGAAGAAATCCAGCTTTGGTCCATTGCTTTCTGCAGCGAGTCGCTTTGGACAATCCTGTTGAGATGTGCCCTGACCAGTGACTTATGCTTTCTGGATTGGAGCTAACAAAGAGGTGCAAAAAGTAAATACATTCCTCAGCTGTTTCAGTGAAAGCCACTTGCAGTCTAGATACAGAATGTGGGCAAACATGAGTCCATTCGGATCCATTAGGCATGCATTTCAATCAAATTCGCAAGGTCAACGGTCAACCATTAGGAACACCGGTGGAACATTTTTTGGCAGCATTTTGCAGCCCTGGTGCCTCTTCAGACACCTAGCCGCCCGATGGCCTGAGCTACATGTCGGAGGTGGGTCGCGCTAGTGGCTGCTACCTTGACATGTCACGCCGAAAAACTGGAATTCAGGCGGCCTCGACTGCTCCATTTGCCAACTTCTCAGCGCCAAATCATGGTATATAAGATATATAAGATGTTCACAATCTAAGACAGTCATTTGAGAAATAAATAGAAGGAATGTGTGTTTTTTGGAAATCAGCTGTTTTCGCACAGAATAAACCCGTGTGCACACAGTATAAACCCAATCAACACCGTTAGCGACACATTGCATCACTGTGGATCGGCGATTTCAAATCAATGTTTGAAACATGTTCAGATCCTTCCACATATTTGCACACTAAACAGTAAGGCCGCATCAAGTGGTGCCCTCAAAATTTTCTTGGACAGCCATCACTCAGACTGTGAAAGGGATGCAACTTGACATAGGACATATGACTCGAGGTCAATCCCACCCTTCAAAAAAGGGAGGGTGGCCTGAGGCTGGGTAAAGCTTGCCTCCACCATTCTGGATACCACCAGGGCTTCTGCATTCGACAGGTTCCGGCATTTTCAGCAACTTCCCCATGCTTCCGCTCAGCCGTGCCACGCCCAAGATGGACCATCCGATCGCCCCAATGGTTGCCCCATTTGCATTGACGGATGACCGGCTGGACCAGCTAAGACCAGCTGAGGCTTTGGCAGTGGATGCCGTTGGTGGTGAGAAATGGCGCCTCCGGGAGGGCTACGTGTCAGAAGGCCAGGAGTTTCTGTCGTTGTCGCCCGGTCGCTGCCCAGTGGTCACTAAGATCGTTGAGTCATCATGGTGAGGCCCGAGCGAGTCCTCGGTGAATGTTGAGGACACCGAAGATGAAAGCTTACAGCCGGAGACCCGTAGCAAAGCACATCGTCTCATGCATAAAATACTGAACATGTTGAAGATGCTCCCAAAATTAAGAATCTCATATAATCTCATTACCAGTCATATAATCTCCAATACCAATCACATCCCACATCCTCATCCTCAAGAGTTTCGACATCGCATCGCTCCTGAGGCAGGCTCTTCCTGGTCTGGAGTGCCTTGGTATGCCTTGGTGTTAGATGCAGCAGCGAAGGTTGCGATCAAACCAGAGATCTTTGGTGCGATCAAACAGACGCTCGTATTTGTGTCGGATCCTTTTGTTTTTCTTTGTTGATCAGTGTAATATTATAATATAATATATATATATATGCGTATATATGTATGATTATGTATGTATGTATCGTACATTATGTCTTATATATATACACATACATAGCCAAGCTCCAATCATTTTTCATGTTGTGTTAGTCTTCGGCACCTGAGGCGGTTCTATGAGACAATGGCTGCAAAGGTGCGGATCGCGGCATATCGTGGCCACGGTTGCCATGAAACGAAGGAACAGGTACCAGACGTTATAAGACATGCAACTGAAACTGAAACTTGATAAAAATAAATAAATAAATAATAAACATAATATTAATAGATATTAATAGTAATAAGAGTAATAATAGTAATAGTAATAATTATAAAGATTAACCAAAGAGTAATGATGAGTCGACTTGGTGTTTCTCACTTGGTTGGAAAGAACTTAAATGAACAGTCGAGAACAATCGAAATTCATCGAAAGCTCGAGGCCCAGATCAAGCCTGGAGCTGCTGGCACATCATCAAGCTGGGTGCTGTCAATGGCGCGAAGCTATCGCAGACTCTCAAAGGAACGGCGCCCGAACGGCGCCCGAACGGGGCCCTGGGGCCCTGGGGCCCTGGGGCATCCTGGTGCCTGGATGGGCCTGGCAGATTGGGCACTCCAACGACCAACGTGGGTATCACGGGTATCCACCAACTTCATCCAACTTCCAACTCCAACATCTCCAGCAACTCCAGCAACCCAATAACTTATATAACTTATATAACTTATATAACTTATATAACTTGAAAATCCGGTAACTCGATGAAAAGGTAAATTGTCCGTCTCCTTCAGGACAAAAGAAGACGTGGCCGCTTGAAGGACTGAATGTTGAATATGCGCTTTGCACATGCAAACTGGCATCTATATATATATACTCAAAACTCCCAAAGGCTCAGGTGCCTTGTTTTCGGACAAAAGATGCCTACAGAAAGTGACATGTCGCCATGCTTCACAGGCTCCCCCTTGCCTTTGTGGCAAATGAGGCTACGAAAAAGCCTAAAAAGGCAACACTGCAGGCTCAAGGCATCTACCCTACGTATTAGGGGCTGTTCGGTCCTTGTAGATCTTTGACAAGACCTGGGAGTTCAGCCCTTTTCCTCTATGTGCATGTTGAAAGGCATTCCAGGGATTTTCTGGCCTCTTTTGGTCCCGTCCTGGAAGTGCCTCATTCGCTACCCTACCTTCAGCAGCTACAGCGCCCATCGCAGCAGGATCGCCCGCTGGAGAGCCCGACTGTGAAGTCATACTCAAAGAGGTAGCTTCAGCCGCGCCGCCCAAGCCCGACTGTGAAGTCATATTCAAGGAGGTGGCTTCAGCCGCGCTGCCTGAGCCCGACGGTGATGTCATACTCAAGGCAATGCTTTCAACCACGCCGCAAGAGCCCGATTGTGGCATCATACTCAAAGAGATAGTGCTTCCGCCACCCTGCAAGCCCGAACGTGGCCTGGTCTCCAACGATGTAGCGCCGGCTGAGCCCGACCGTCGCCTGGTTTGAGTTGATGTAGCTTCGACATCAGCTCCATGCGAGCCCGACTGTCGCCTGGTTCGAAATGATGTAGCTTCGACATCAGCACCATGCGAGCCCGACTGTGGCCGTGAAGTCATGGATGAAGTTGAGCCACCGCGGCCCCTCATAGATCCAGCCTCGCTTTTCATAGTTCTCATCGGTCCACAGTTTCCAGATTCCACATGGGTTCGTCGCCTCAAAGACGCCGATGCATCATCCTCCAGTTCTTCTTCATCAGAACCCTTAGCATCCTTCCACCTTTGTTCCAGTCTAAGACCTTTGCCTCCTTCTGACGCTTGCAATCGTCGCAGACAACATTTCGCCGCCTTGTGAAGCAGTTGTCCAGTGTAGATTGCTCCCATGGCCACAAGAAAGGCTCCAGTCACCCAGATCCAGGTGAAGTCTCCTTCAGGTTCCGGTTCTTCTGCATAAGCTTCCGCTGTAGAAAGCAGCACACTGCCCACCATCATCGCCCGCATGGCAGCTCCATGGTGTGCTCCGCCAGCAGCAGGTCGTTCTTCGTGAGCAGGTCTTCTTGTCCTCCTCAAACCAAGGTCATCAACAAACTGCGTAAAGGCTTGACCTTGAAGAGGTTTTGTGCAACCATCTGCAACGAGCTCCGTCCCCTTGAGGTGCAAGAGCTTCCATCCTCCACCACGGTTGCGGTTTGTTTCATCCAAAGCTTCTTTCAGCACACTGGCTCGGATTCTGAGGTGCCGTGTGCGCCACGATGCTGTAGTGACACCGTGAGACAAATTGATGGCCGCCGCATTGTCACCATAGATGACCTTCTCAAAATCCCACTGTTGCCAGATAGCTGCCAAAAGTGCTTCTGTTGCCCTTCCCACCACCAAAGACTCGCAGTATGCGATGAGTTCCGCTTCTGCAGTTGAGTGCGCCACAAATGGTTGAACTCCACACTGCCATGCTATGGGAACCCCAGCATAGTACACCACCAAGCCTTGGATGCTCTTGTGGTCAGCGCCCGCAGCATATGAGATGTCAGAAAAAACCTCTAACATCTTTTGATGCCGTCTGGCCTTCAGCTGGTCTCGGCGACCCCAATCACCTCCAGGAATCGTTTGTGGATAGTGCATTCCACCAGGATTTCCATGAAGATACTTGAGCAGAACATACCCAATCTCCACCGCCTTCTTGGGGTTCTTTGTTGTCAGCCTGCTCATGGCCGAGACTCCAAAAACCAAGTCTGGCCTTGTTCTCGTCGACAGCCATAGGAGTGCTCCAGTGAGCATCTGGGCAGTGCGCACATCATTTGGGTCAATCTCCCCCGTGAAGTGCTCATCATCCTCCGTGACCTTGAAAGCAGGGTATTGTAGAGATTCTTCAATGCCCCATCTTGTCAGAAGTTCTTGTTCATACATGCTTTGGGACACGTAGAAACCATCTCCAGCCGCACCCATGCTGACCTCAAAGCCACAGTAGCGCAAAGGCTTGTCTGCTGCCCATTCCACCTCCGATAGCGTCCACTTGCTCTGGATCGCCTCCATAGCCAGCTTCACTGTCTTTGGTTCGCCAGCCACCAAGATGTCGTCAACGTAAACTGACATCAAGCCTGCCCAGTTTTCAGCGCCAGTCTCCTGATTGACCTCCACCAAGCGCCACAGGTTTTCATCTTTGGAGTGGACAAAGCGCCCTTCAAAAGCTACACCTCCAATGTCCCGCCTCCAGCGCAACGTGGGCACCACCTCATCTCTGTGTATGCCCCAGTCTCTTGGCGAGGACACCAACCCATAAAGGGCCTTTTCAATGACCCATACGTCCTCCGCATCAGCCAGTCCAAGGTGCTTGAAAATGGTTGGGACCTCCATGGCCGTGATCTTTGTGGTGTCGCGTTTTGGAGCGTTCAAAAACGCTACCCTGATGTCACTGCCAGCAAGACACCATCCCCGCAATGCCGCGGTTCTGATCAAGGCCCTGACTTGGCAGCCATCAGCACCGCCTGCATATCGATCTTCAGTGCCAACATCTTGATAGTTTCCACATACAACGGCACGAGATCTGTACGCACCTGTGTTGGCTTTGCGGGTGTGGACCATTTTGGCCGGGAGCAATTCAATGGGGAGCTGTCTTTCTTGAGCAAGTTGTCGGAGCTGAGATTTCTTCATTTGTTTCACAGCCTGCTTTTGGTTCACCAACTGCTCATATTCAGCTCTCACTGAGGGCTCCCAGTTTTGGATGTCTTCCCAAACCTCTTTGTTGGATATCGTTCTTGTCACCAGGAATTCATTTCCATTTTCCAGAGCTTCCTTTTTTTCTCTGTTGATCATGATCAGCTCCTCTTCAACCTCCGCCTTTTGCACCAGCATCTCTTTCAACACGGGCATGCACCAAGCTTGTTCATCAGCCGTGCCATCAATGTGGACCATCTCATCCATCACCAACATGTGCAAGTTGTGTTGCACCTTTTGTAAGAAGCTTTCATATTCCTGTGAGGCTGTCAGGCATGAGCCACCGCACTGACTATTAGGCGCCTCCTCCTCCTCCCCACCTCCAGATCCGTCCAGAGATGAGTCTGGTGATGGCACTGTCTCCAGAGACCAGCTATCATCGCTGTCTCTCTCCCATGATGGTGCATTGACTCGGCCAAGATGTTCAAAAGGGTCATCCTCCCCCTCGATTGGTGCCCGCATCAATCGATGCAACATAGCAGGCTTTGTTTTGCCTCGCAATCGTCGTGCTGGTTGAAGATCCATGCCAGCAGGGCGAGAAGCCTCATCTCGTTCAGGCAGGTAAATGGCGTTGTCAGCCCTGATTGGTCGCGGAGCAGCTCCTTCATGAGCTTGTTGTTCATCATGTTGCCCAAGAACTGCCGCCTCCGTCGCCTCAAAGTCAGGGGTGATGACATCGGCCGTGAAGAAGTACTTACCCGTGTCAATGGACTGCACAAAGTAGTTGGTTGATGTCAATGTGCTACAGGCATCTGGTCCAAGCACCAAGACTGGCTGTCTGGTGTCGGCCCATTCTTCATGGTTGTCTTGCCACCACTTCCGAAGAGCGTATGCCTGAGTTCCAAACTTCAGCAAGTCCCCAACAGGGTAGCCACAGCCACGCAGTTGAGCTCGTAGGCGACGTTCTCCAACATGCCGTGCCACCAACGGCCATAGGTTGATGTTGAACCTGCCAGCAGAGATCACAGTGCGAATTGCTCGCTTGGTTACGCCAAGTTCTGCTTCGCAGCGCCCGTTGGCTTTGTAATCATCCCCTGCTGTTTTTGTGAGGACAATATCCCTGTTTTGCGCCCATCGTCGCAAAGGAGCTGCAAGAAATTCTCTGGCCCTGTCAGAATGCAACCGCATCACTGGAAGACCAAGTTGTCGCAATCGGCTGTAGATCTTGGCAATGGCCGGCAAGACATGCTGGGAGTTGCGACTTTCGATGGTCTCAACAAAGGTGATGTTTTTTACGGTCACATTCATGGACTCCTCCGCAAGCTTCTGCCAGGCCAGCAAGCAGCCATGTGCCGTCTTCTCGGCCTTTCTGTCCTCTTCTTCACTTTGACCCTCCACTTCAACATTGTCATCCTCTTGCTCTTGCAGTAGATCTTGCCCTTCTTCAGCTCCATCTTCAGCTTCGAGCTCATCCAAACCAGGAAGCGGTTGATCCTGAGGTTCAACACCATCCGGAGAAGCCAGTGGCACACCATCTTTGGTGATGGGGAAAGTGTAGACCCCCACAAGCAAGTACTTGCACTGCTTCTGTTCCTGGTTGATGCCCGGCGTGAACTTGCCGCTCAGGTCCACCGACAAAGTGAACGCTTCCGGATGCTGAACTCGCCGATGTGGGCGTGCACGTGCCTGTGCCCTGACACAGTGCTGGCAATCTCTACGAGAGGGCATATGGTCGTGGAGGTAGTGCGTTTTCCATGACTCGAGAGCTGCAGAGCCCAGGGTCCTGACGGCTGGTTGTTGAGGTAGATCAGGATGCCTGTCAAGCCACTGAACCCGCTGGCTCACGGCCAAGGAAATCGCATTTTTCAACCCAAGGGCCCATTGAGACCATGTTCTTGAAGCTTCACATCTTTGGTCAACTGTCATGGCCCGAAATTGAGCTCCAGCTTCTGCTTCATTGCTGGGGGCTCCACGCACACCATCAAGATGCCGAACTTCTTGCACGTTCGTGGCCAGACATGTAGGCTTTCTTTTTGAGTGCCCCAACGGATGTTGATCAAAATGGTACTGCACCAAGTTGTACTTCTCCGCCAAGGCCTTCCACTCAGCAGTGCGGAAAACTGAAAAATATTCATGCTGTTGCACATCAGCTTCTGACCGATACCGTTTTGGGTCTTCAGGCTGCTCCATGAAAAACTGTGTTGGAGGTTCTGTTTCCTCACGCATCTCCTCAGCGACCATGAGCAAAGACCAAAAACGAAACATCAGAACTGAGTCAGCGATCACCAGTTCCGCATCTGCAGGACTCAGAGTTGGGAGTCCATATGGGTGCTCCTCGGTCCGCAGAACTCCAGGGCCACCATCATTTTGATACCGCAAAGCTGACACTGTCCTGCAAGGGGGACCACCCAAAATTGCCCTGACTCGCCCACTGGCACAAAGTGTGAGCAAGTAGCCAAACACATTCCGATCATGGAGGTTGGCAGGCGTAGAGCATGTGGTATCAATGCAAAGCACCTCCGTGTTGGCATTGGCGCATCTTTGATCCCAGTAGTTGTGATCTGGGCCTGAGAACAAGTGGAGGATCACGTGCTTGGCTTGACGTAATCGTCTGCGCTTGTGCCGGTTCCATGGCAAGTTGGACTCAAAGTTCTCTGTCTTGACCATTTCCAAATGCGGTGCTATTCTCATCATGACTTCATCAGGAAGATGCGGAAAAAGCTGCCGCAGCTTGTAGGTCAAAGCCAGCTCCAAGTCCAAGCGCTGTCGATCCACTTGGGTGTCATCAGCCAGCAAAGATCTTACCATCGCCAGCTTCCGTTGTTGATGCACTTGATACCACTCCAGCCATTCCAAAATTCTCTGGCCATCTGCTAGAGATATCATGGGGCAGCCCTGAACCACTCGCACTTCAAATTCTCTGCCCTCATCATCACGCAACTGACACTGATCTCCAGACCATTGCAAGGTGAAGTCAAGTGCTGTGAGACCGCCCATTGGCACAATTCTTGAGGTCGTTTGTGTTGGATGCCCCAACAGCACTTTGGTGCCCCTTTTGAGGCGAAAGGCTTCCGTCTCACCATTTGCCAGTTGCACCACCGTTCTTTCAGCATTGGTCCATTCATGTAGATCATGTGCAGGACGTAGGGCATGTGTGGCTCCTGAGTCAATTAGCACCCAGTCATTCTCCGCCTGCTCCAGTCCCGCCAGTTGCATGACATTGATCTTGGGCTGAACTCGCAGTGACTTCAGTAGTTGCGTTGCCTCATGTAGCAACTCATCAGCTTTGGTACCTTTGGGATCACCTCCAGTTCCACCATCTCCTGAGCCGACCCCTTCTTCCGGAGATCCATTGACATTTTTGACCTCCGCAGGAAACGCTGATGATGTTGAAGTGGCTGCAGTGCTCACCTTGTCAGCGTTCAAAACTTTTGTCGCTGCTGCTGCGCCTGCTTTGCCGCCCACACAGGAAGAGCTGGAAGAAACCGCCGTAGTTGTAGGAGTTGTCACATCATTGCTGCTCCCCCCACGTCCTTGGCCTGTTCCTCCCCCTGAGCCAAATGGCTCACCTGGCTTTTTGGCTCGGAGCTTACAATCAGTCTTCCTGTGCTCCTTGCTGCCGCAGACAAAGCATCGTGCTCCTTTGTCAGGGAGGCTTTCCCAGTCGTGCTGCCACTTACAGCTCTTGCCTGCCTTGCAGCCTTTGTCAGACATGAAATAGCGACATGGTTTCTCGATCGCTGCACTTGTTGTTGATTTTGGGTCTCCATTGGCTACCTTGATTGGAGACTTCTTGTCTGCATCCAGCTGCTTAAGCTTGAGAGGCGTCACCGTTATCGATGAAGCAGAGCTTTGAAGCAGCACCAAGGTTTCCGCTTCAGCCAACAAACATTGGGAAAACGCCCAAAGATTTCTTTGAGTTGGTTGTTGGTCTAGTTGAAGCTGCATCCTTGATTGGGATAATCTGAAAGCTGCCTGTTGGTCCATGGCCGCGATCTTTTGCAAGGGATCGTCCAAAGCTTTCAGCAAAAGAATCCCATCTGGAAGAACTGCTTGAACTTCTTCAGCTCGACCAAAATGTCGGCGCCAGTTTCTGATGGCTGATGCAACTTCTTGAATCGTTGAGCTCTTCTCCATTGTTGTGAGCTGCTGCAAGAGGATCTGTTTCTCTCCTGCTCCGCCAGGCTGAAAGCGCACCATCAACTTGTACAGGATCGCTGTTGAGCTCAGCGACCGATCAGTGACCAGCTCCTGCTGCTCAGCCAAGGGGATTGCTTTCAGAAGCATTTGCACTCCCCGCTGCTCCGTTCGTTGAAAGCGATGTTCACTAAGGCTTTCAGGCAGTTGTGGACGTATTTGAATGCGTTGCAAAGGAGAACTGGTTTTCCACTGCTCATAGTAGCACTTGGCTTCTCGAAGAGTTGACTCCCACCACCACCCTGCGACTCCGCTGATGTCCTTCATGGATGGGGTGCTCAAATGCAACCAGTCTCCAAACTGCAGCGGCGATGACGTTGCCGGCAGGTCAGGGAGTTCTGTCTTGGTGTTCATAGAACCTCCCTCTGACCACGGACCATAGACCCGGTCCGATCCTTCTCCAATTCCACCTCCCCCCACACCATGCCGAGGAAGATCTGTGAAGCCTCCTGGACCGTTATCATGTAGTCGCTCCAGCGTCGACGTCCCATGCCCATGCAAAGCCCGAGCTTGATGTGGATCTTCTGAACCATGACATTCTTTATAAGAACCCATGCCAGAAGTGCTAGCCCGATCTTGTCGTTGATGTGCACCGCTTCCACCAAGCAAGTCACCAGGAGCTCCTCCGGGGTGCTCAAAGTTCGCAGCGCAAGCCCGATCTTGTCCAAGATGCTCGAAGCCACGCTTGCTAGCCCGAGCTTGTCCAAGATGTTCACCACATCCGCCAAGCGAGTGACCGCCACATTCTTTCTGACTGCTCACCATGCTAGCCCGAGCTTGAAGAAGATGATCAGCTGCGCCAGCACCCGCTTCCGTCGAGTTCGAAAGCCGGACAGGTGGACCCGTTGGTGGATGGAAACCCTTCGTCCAGTATGCACTAGATTTGAGAGAATTCCCCTCAGACAAACGTGCTAGTGAGCCCTGTAGTGCAACTACCTCTTGCTCCAACCAAAAAGCCCTAGCAGTTCGTGGTGTCATCTCCTTTTGGGTTCCCACGTTGGATCGGTTTTCATCACCTTGGGTTTTGATTCTACTTTTTCATACCCTTCCAAAAACTGCTCCATGTTGTCATTCACCATGAAGGATTGAGGAAAAGGAGGAACAACAGGTCGTGCTGGAGGAGGTTGAGGTGCATGACATGGTTCAGCATGAGGAGTCTCGCTACTTGGGGGCGTTCCGTCAGGGACCCTAGTTCCATTCGGAGTGAGCCGGACATCCCGCTTCCCCGACCCAAAGGTACGAGCAGCACTCCTTGGTGTGTGATACCCTCCATGTCGCCGTCCTCCATCATCAGCTTCAGGCGGCACACCCGCACAAGCTGACCCTCCAAGATCAGACCATGACCCTGAAGACCCTTTTCCAGACTGTGACATCATGGCCTTCAGTTTCTCTACCTCTTCCATCAACTGCGAATTCTGAACTCGCAACTGGTTGACAACTTCAACTTCCAACGCTCTTTGCAACCCGTCTACAGAAGGTTTTGAAACATCATCCATGGTCAGCTCCATAGATACCCTTCCCATAGACATGCGACTTCCATCCCTATCATCAGGCATTCTACCCTCTGATTGTTTCACCTTTGCAACCCGATTTTCAGCCCCATCATCACCGCCATTCAAAGTTCTGCTTGGTGGGGTTTCAAAGCAAGCCACCTTTCCAAGGGATTGATTTCCACGGCCCTTACCAGTGCAGCCATCACGGACCGGCAACACCCCAGCCTCTGGCGACTGCTCCATCCTCGGCAGTTCCCTAGGTCTGGCAGCGAGCAGCTGGACCTCCTTCTGATTTCTGTCTGACCAGAAAGGGTTGATTCCAGGAGCCCCATGCAGTTGCGGCGGTTCAGACGAAGCCCTATCCATTGCGAACACAAAAGGGTCAACGCAGGGATGTCTTTGGGCTCATAACCCTCAAAACTCCCAAAGGCTCAGGTGCCTTGTTTTCGGACAAAAGATGCCTACAGAAAGTGACATGTCGCCATGCTTCACAGGTATATATATATATAATTCCGTTTTGATGGCAGCTTAGAAGTAACGATTAGAATCAACTAGACTATGCCAACCTATGGTAACCTATGTATGCTAAAGCAACTTCATTGCCAACCACATTTAAGATCCTTTGTACGTATTCTCTGAGGAGCTGCTTCAGCCTGCTGGACAGGGTGTGCTGCGAAGTACTTCGGGAGGAAACCTGTCGTGCCCGGAGCATTTGTGTGGCAAACCTAGTGAAAACACCTATAGTGAAATGGGATGAGATGGGTATGTCTGAAAATGGGTATATCCCTCTGAATAGCCATTCTGATAGGGACAACGATGATGATAAACCACCAATTTTCGGGGTAGCCTATTGTCAGACAAACCCAAATGAGATGTGGATGCAGCGGAAGAATATCAGCGGCCTTGGATGCTTTGCTCAGGTTGGTCATCCACAGACGATAGCGGCTATGAGGCTGGGACGACCAACCTTGCGGGATTTGTCTGTGACTTTTTTGTTCATCCCCATACACACCACAGAAATCCACCTCGCAAGGCTGGTTACGAAACAGATGCAGATGAGTCCGAGTTGAGTGAATGGGAGAGTGGCAATGTGCGACAAGGGCAAGGAGCTTACGGCGAGTACTGCAAGCTGGTTTGGAACAGTTGGAGTTGAAGTCTATTGTCCATTTCAAATGTGTTAATTTCCATACTAGGGATGATAAACTCCAATTGACTAGGCACAAGAGAAAGTTGGAAGCTTTGGTGCGTGGACCTTGGTTGTTGCAGGATCTGCTGGATTTCTATGTCTGAAAATTGAGTATATCCTCAATGCTGATAGGATGACATGACAAACCAATGGATTAGTACAAAAACCATGTGCTGAGCTGATGGCATCCCGTTCCGAGCGAATTTTGTTGTCCCAGGAACTTGACAAAGCAGATGAGCTTCTCCGCAGAGCGTCCAAATTCACAGAAGAACGAGGAGAAGCTGGGCTTTGACCAAAATCGTTTCTGTAACAAGGTTTTCACAGATGTTTTTACAGTCCCCAAATACCGTTCAACTATGTTCAACTCAGTAACTCCACCTTTTGATCATCAGTTGATCATGTTCCCAAAAACTACCAGGTCACTCTTTCCATGGCAACATCATTTTGGTACCCTAAAAGCCAGGAGAATTTGGCTTTGGGTGAGGCCCGACAGCCACCACCGAAGACCCTACGCGCTTTGGGGACTCGCCCGGTGGGCTTACGCCTGTCGTTGCCCAACGGTTCTGACTCTGCTGCGTCCTCGATGGACGGTCGCAATGGTTGATATATGTTGATATGTTGAAGTTTGTTATGTTTGTTGCATGTTCACTTTGACTCAAAATTCCTCAAGTTGGGTAGGAATGGATTCAGAAACATACCCCTGGTTGTTCCAGAAATCATCTAATTGAGACGACTTCTGGTTTCTGTTGTTCCATGTTGGAACTGGAGATTCTGTGCATTTTTTCTGGCGCGTTTTGAGGTCGCCCATGTGCCTGAGTCCAAGAATGGAACTGTAGCATCCCCAGATCACATCTATGATACTTGCAGAATCCAGAAATCAGCGGGACGATCTGGTCAGATCCAGTGTTCTCCCTATTTTTTCAATCTTTTGTGTGGTGAGCTGAGAAAACACCTGTGCAGACTCAAAACATCCTCATTTGATGATGCATGCATACAAATTCACGTATAGACATATTTAAGAAATGATCAAAAAATATCTCTTGCAGTCTTCCAGGACCTGATTTTTTGGAGCTAAGGATCCACATGTGAGTGGACCCATGCCCGCCTTGGCTCAATCTGAACAAAGCTTTCCGTCTACGTTGCCGTACCCCTCTCAGTGTGGCTTCAATGGTGTTAGGATAGAATATCAATGACCTCTGACGCCAATTTTTATGGGGTGTGTTCAGTGTGTTCATCTCTGACTTGGTGAAGTTTCATGATATGAATTTCCCATGGCTTTCGGATGTCATCAAGGCCTGCTGATTATCAGCTGCCCAGCCAAGCCCGCAGCGTCGTCATGGCTCCAAACGTGAGTTATTACGATGCCACCAGCGTCACGGTGAACAGCACACAGCTGGCGGTACAGTCTTGGATGGTCCTCCCAGCAAGTCTTGGCGACCAATTGAAGTGCGGTAAAGATGCCACCATGCCATGCACCAATGCCCCCATTTGTTTGAATATGATGAATATGTTTGAATCATTTGCTCATACCTCAAGATACATTTTACATCATACTACATGAACATGTTTGAAACATTCGTTCAAACCTCAAGAATCCTCAAGATACATATCACATCATACTACATCATACTACATCAATATTATTCCATCATATTATAATCATGAATAGGTTTACATATATCATCATATATCTAGATATCATCAGTTGAGATGTTTATATATATAATTATATATATATATTATATCTAGGTTTACAGTACATATCACATATCACATATATATATATATGCATAGATATGTAAATCTATATATCATATGAAAATCTCAGCTGATTATCTATATATCGATAGTTTTACAATATATCAAGATAATAGTCCAATATAATTATATATATTAAGATATATCGATAGGTTTCATATGATATGTACTACAATGTACTACAGCCTTTTTCCCACTTGAGGACACCAGCTTCCATGGTAGACGCCAGGCGCCAGAAGCTCGGGAGAGCATCCGGGACGCTCGGGACAATGCTATGGAGGCCAGGACCCAAAGATTATCCCTAAATCAACATACCAAGATGGAATATGGATGAATATATTATGTATTATAAATATATATATATATATGTTATAGATAGATCGATAGACAGACAGACAGGCAGGCAGGCAGACAGGCAGATAGATAGATAAATTGATTAGATAGATTCGACAGATTCGATAGATTCATATAGATTCTATAGATTCGATAGATTAGAAAGATTAGGTAGATTCACAGATTAGAAAGATTAGATAGGTTAGATAGGCTAGACGGATTAGATAGATTAGAAAGATCGGATAGATTAGAAAGATTAGATAGATTAGATAGGCTAGACAGATTAGATTGGATAGCTTAGATAGCTTGGATGGGTTGGATAGGTTGGATAGATTAGATACATTATGTATACATGGTATACATAATATATCTTATAGATATTATTATATATAACACATATTATATATGTTATATATATGATATATATGTATTATATATTATATATATATTATATATTATATATTATAGTATCTATTGTATATTTTGTATATTATACATATATATATATATTTATTATTATACATATATATATATGACATTATATATTTTACATTTTATATATTATTTGTTAAATTGTTTAAATATATATTGCGCATCATTCATTTTTCTAAATATTATATGTACTATATATTCTTTATTTTTTTAAATAGATATATCATATATATATATAAGACTATAATGTATGCTAGATATATGTATATATATATATATGTGTTTTTTCATTTCTATCATGTTTTAAAGAAAATACATGAAAACCACACTGGACTGGGAGATTTTGGACGTATATCATTTTACAGTAAATTATGGTTTCGTTTTGGGTTTGCCGCAATATTTCAGAGGAAGAGTTTTTCCAGTATTTCATTGAGATTTTCCTTGAGGTGGGCTGAAGCGGCTGATCCACTAGCGATTTGTACAAAGATATCTTTTGGCAAGCTGTTGCTACAAAGTTCAAGCAACGTTAACAAAAGTTATGCAAATTCAAAGTTCCATGGTAAGAGATCATTGCCACTCCGCAAGGATGAAATCAAGGTTTTTTTTTGCGGAATGGTATATTTCAAGAGAAGAAAAAACTGAGAACAACATTGAGCAACAGCTACCATTGATTGCCAGTGAAGGAGTTTTAAGAGCGAAATCTGCTTTTAAATCTCAGATTTCAAAGCTTTGAACGATGATTCAGAAAGCAGTCCAATAGAGAAAAAGTGTGAAAAACTTAGCAACCCGATGTTGCGTAAGCCTAGAGGTTGAATGCAGTTGTTCGTCTTAGATTTTGCATGTTTCTTATCCACAACAGCCAATGCAGGAGCTACCACTTGGTTCAAGCCGTTTGCCACAGAGCTTGAAATTGCATGCAACCTCACAGAATGCCATTCCCAAAAAGATACAATCTAAATGTCTCATGGCAAGCTGCTGAGTAGCCCTCAACATCTCAACCAGCCAAACAACATCTCAAAACGAAATCTTCATAGTAGGGGTGCTGCTGCGCGTCGATGGACGATGGGAGACAAAAGCGATGGACTCGGAGGTTTGAGGCGCGCCATAGGAAGCAATCGGTTTGTTGGTTTGGATGGTTTCAAAACGTTTCAATCATATTTGTTTGATTATATTTTGCATTTGTCATTTCAAATTTGTTTATCATCAAATTCATTATCCATTATCCCAATATCCCATATCATTATCAGCAAATTGGTAATAGTTATAATCAATGAATACCATTGTCACACTTGATCATCATCCTATATCAAATCACCCATTATTCCCATTATATGTCCATGATCATTCCCATCAAATATCATTAATGATTAATGTGATATTCACCCAATTTAACCATCCCGAAGTCATCACAAATTTTATGGTTGGTTTGTTCACCACCCCCAACTTATTAGTTGGTGTGTTATTGGTAAATCATCAACTAATCATGATAAACCAAACCATTACCAACTAGTATTGATAAATTACCAGCTATAAATTACCAACTATAAATTACATAAATTACCAACTTATTGATCCATCCAAATATGGGCGTTTCTTAAGTCATGATCCCCAGTTGTCACCATCGGTGAGGCGGAAGTCCCAGCAACTGGAGGAAGCGAACCTTGAGTTGAAGCGCGTGTGGCCCTCGGGCTTTCCAGCGTGAAAAAACTCAGGCTGTCAAAATGGGAGATTCCCAGAACGAAATGCAGGTGTTATATGGCCAAATCATAGGAAAATATCGGAAACCCTGGACGAAATGGTGGTTTTTATGGGAAAATATCATCTACATATATATTAAATGGTGATTGTCGATTGTCATGCTTGAATACCGCAGGATACCCTCAGTTTCGGCATTTTTACAATGAAAAAACAAACCACTGGATTTGGGGATATCTTTCGGGCAAACCCAAGTGGCTTAGGACTTCAAATATTTCAGCCATTGTTTGTTGCAGCTTTGTCCTCTCCCTTGCCAAAGGTTAAGGAGCGTAGAGACCTAGTCTTCACTCTGGCAGAGAGGGGCGGCATCGCACTCAGTCAAAGATACATTCTTCTGTGTTTTCCTTTACAATATGCTTTTGAAATGCTCGGATGATTCTGATGGATAACCTTAGAAGTCAACCTTGGATTTGACACCTTGTGATGGAAGCAGACTGTTTCAGTCCTCAGTCCGCCTTTCTCACAACCATTTGTGATCTTTGCCATTGATTTCCCCCAGGTGGTTTGCTCTTGCGAGGATGGAGAAGAGAGCTAGATCCCGACGGATGGAGACTTAGGGTGAGGTAATCGCCGATGATTACCCCTCGGAGATCCTGTCAGCATCAGAAAAGGGACTTGAGAAAAAAACCGTTTCTCTCCCACTGGAACTACCCTGAGGTTCCATGGACGTGACTGTCAAGGACACGAAGCCCTGCAATGCAATATTGGCAATTTGGACATGGGGAAGTCATGCTCAGTAATTTCATGTAAAATGCATTAAAATGCCAACATTAAGCCCGACTAATTGAAGTTCGCCAACCAACATCTCCTAGTAGTTACTAACAATCGTCAAAACTTGTCCGTGCCTGAGTATAGTTGGTGAAAGACAATGAAAGCTCGACCAATCTCGACCACCCTGCATTACGGAGGAGTTGGATTGGCATTTGCGTCGACTTGGGCTCGGGGCACAACTGACCTGGTTGTGAGACACGGCTTTGCGAATTCTCGATCTGCAATGTTTGACACAGCCAAACACGTGCCAGATTTGCCAGGACTTTTCTGCCAAGACGATTATAGGCAACAAAATGGATGAGATGCTGACCCTAGAGGAACTGCGGAGTGGATCCAGTGGCAAGTTTCAGCCCACTGACTGTCAACGTGGCAGCCTGGCAGGAGCTGTGTCCAACAGATGGGGAGCTCGTAAGTCGCATTCGCGATTGGATAAAGGACGAGTTTGGGAGTCCAGTCAGCGTCTCAGATCCAGCTGAGGCGGGCCTTCAGGGCAAGTTGCCCATGGGACATTGTCGTTTCATGTCGTTTCTTACTCTTACTCTTAGTTCCCAAAATTTGAGATGCTCGGACGAGTCCAGGAGCCGGACTTGACCCATGATCGTTTGACATTTGATGACATGGGATGAGATGAGATGTTATGACATGAGAGAAGCATAGAGAACCATATTTGATCATGTCATAACAATCTGATCATGTTATTTGATGGAAATGTGCAGCATCTGAATCCGCTGCGGAATCCGCTGCGGCACGGCATTTTGCCAAGGCTGCTTTGTGGACAGTCATTGACTCCAAGCAGCTTGGAAATCTGGACAGGGAAGGCAGTCGTGCACAAACTTGGGATGGAGCATTCATGAAAAAAGACAGCTGCTGACATTGCTGACTGAAACATGTTGAAACTGAGTGATTAAACATGATTAAACATGATTAAACTCTGTTGCTTTATGGATTTTATATGATTTTATATGATTTTATGGTGGCAAGCGATGCAGGCTGGATTACCGCATGTATTTCCAACGGATTCCAAGGAACTGTCCAGCACCCAGAAACCGTTGATGACAACGAGACATCAATGTGATCTGAAAATCCAGTCCCGTCCAGGCTCAAGAGCTCTCCTACCTCTTTGATTTCATAGATATCGATGAGAGTGGACAGGTCAACAAAGAGGACATGAAAACCGCCTGCATCGATACTCATGTAGCAGCAATGTAGCAATGTAGCATGCTCCTCGGTTTTGTGACGCGACATGGTGGAACCTGGTGGAAGGAAATCCTCTTCTTGGAAACAGACTGCGAGGCTTGGGACATCTTGGGACATCGGACATGATGACACGATGACACGGTCAGACACACGCACCAGAGACGTCGACAAACTCCAGACATGGCAAGCTTTGTGTGCGAACCCAGAATAGCATTCCGATGTAATTTCATTCCACTCTGCTTGTGACTCTCTGGAAGTCGCCGGCATGCTGCACAGGCCACAAAAGCTCACTATTGAGCGACCCATGACTTTGGCATCTAATTTGGAGGTTCTTTCATTTCAGCCCCTTTGGGTGATTATTCCGATGTAATATCTATAAGTTATGATAAGTTATATTAAGTCACTTACAAATTTGAAAATGACAAATAATTCTTAAAGTGGTTTCCCCATTGTACCCCCTATATCCCCCTATGAATTGGGTTTAGTAGTCCTGGAACATCAGGATCTTCAGGCGCTCGACATGGACATGTCAGGCGAGGGACAAGGCCATCTTCGAGGAGAAGATGAAGTCTCGAGGTCAAGTGCAACGGCAAATGACTCAGACAACGGACTCGGCTGATGTCTTTGAAACTGATGACTCACTGATGACTCACTGATGACTCACTGATGACTGAATGAGTTTATGTATGTTTATTTATGTTTATTTGACATATACATACAATTACATACATATACCTATGTTTGTGATTGTTTGTGTGAGTGTGTCTTCGATGTTTTTCCCCCAGAGTTGTTCCACTTTCTTTGATAAGATGTCTTCCACATTTTCTCTCGCTTTAGCTTCCACAATTCCAGCACCTTGCAGGCTTTGGGCTTCGGTCTACTGGTCTGAATTGTAGCCTGGTCGATTCCAGTCCTGTTTCCAATGCTTGGGTGGCACCAGATGGTGTACAAGATGCATTCGTTATATTTTGTATGATCATATTCATATTCAATTAAAGTCAGTTCAATTATATTCAATAATTGAATCAATATGAATCAATGATATTCAATGATATCTAATGATCTCCAATGATATTCAACGATAATGATATTCACATACGTGCACATCTTTTGTTGATACAACATCCCTATGAGTAGCACAAAAACGACCAAAAACGGCCACAACGGCGATGTGTTGAAACATGTTGAAACCCAGGCACAAGGATCTGTCGCCTTTGCACAGAATGGCACCAAGGCTCATAGCTGTCGTAGCGATTAGCGATGCGCGTGCCGCGTTACACGCACTACGCAAGGCCATGGATGGCCAAGTCCTTTGAAAGCCTTCCACCTTTGGTGATTGTTCGACGTGCGGTGCTGAATTCGACTCCGACATTTTCGAACATGTTGGAATGTCTGGTTGACGCTTAGTCGAGCTTGTTTCCCTCTACCCAGGCCAAAGGCGATTGCGGGAGGCAAGATTCCAAAAGAGCTACCCTGTCCTTTTGAGGGTCCCTAGGTATCCCTTAGGTAATCATTGGCAGGTGTTACAAAGGGATTGAAAGATTAAATGATTGTCGTGGATATTGGAGCCTTTGAAAAGGAGTTTTATGCGGAAGCTAATTTTGCATCACTCACACGGCTCTGTTGGCATTCTTTTTTGCAGAAAGGATACACTCCTTGCATCTAAGAGCTCTAGAGGTAATGTGTTTTTTGATGTTTTTTGTCTATGTGCAGGTCAGAAGTCGCCAGAGAGTAGCAAAGTCAGTTTTCCTGTCATGCCAACATGTTTTTGCATGTTTTACCGCGTTTGGGAGTCGGTCTCTCATCAAGTCATCATTGGAACTTTGACATCTTCGACGCCAGGAAAGGGTTGATCCATAAATTTGGTTCGTGTGTCCCGACCTCAGACACGAAGCAATCGACACGCTTGTGCTTATGATGTCTCTGCTTGAATATATTATATTACTTTTTGTTCAGTGCAATAATATCTTCAAGGTTTCAAGTTTGGATGAGGATGAGGATGAGGATGAGGATGATGCTGCTGGTGGTGATGACAATGACGATGACCAGGACACTTTTGGGAGATAAACATTGCTTTCACATGCTTTCACAAGAAACGACGAAGATGGCCACAGGCTTAAATCATTGAGCGGATTTCAGGCCCGTGCTTGGCGACGGGGCATTGATCCCAATGGTCACTTCTATATCGACAAACTGCCACTTGGCATGATCGAAGATCGCCGAGGATCTTTGCCACCGGCAGAAGTGATACAAATGAACCAAGGGATTATGAATTATGGATGATTATGGAACACAAACACAACAACTCCTGTAACTGCAATAGAAGATATAGAAGACCCAGCGTTTCTGGAGCATGTGTGGGAAGTAATTGGTTCATTTTGACATGATTTCGGTGACTGAGGATTTTGCGACACTTCTGTAGGACTCAGGAATTGGTCCCATCCTCAATCCACTTTGTGACCTCAGAAAAAGCGTCCTCGACTGTCCTTTGTTGGAGATGAAAAATTGATAAAATTTGTCTTTTTGAGGACAAAGAGGTCCACCTACAGTCCTTGTGGACCACTCTGGATACGTGCGCCCGCCATGATTTAATCTCGCATCAGGAGAAACACCTTGGATGAAACTGTTCAATCATATTCAATAAGAATGGCTATAGCTAAACATCAGAAACATTTCACATAGGTCTGTTTGAAAACAGGCTACCCCAAAAAAAACTCATTGTTAATGTGTGTTATTAATATTTATTAATGTTAATCAAGCCCATCATGAGATCCATGATATTCCATGATTTCGTGGCCCCTGATTTTGGTCCAATAATTGGTCCAGGGACAAAGATGGTCGAGTTGGTCTTCAAGACGTTGCGCCCTTGGGTGCCGTGGCACTGGCCTCCTTTAGGCGAGACTGGGCGAGACTGGGGGCCATGGCTTTGAACATGGATAGCTGTTGAACATGTCCAATCATGATAGTGAATGATAGTCAATGATAATCATATATATATATATTAATATATACGTATATATATAATTACATAATTATATAAACATTAACCTGTATATATGTGTATTGTATAATCATATGTCATCATACATTTTTCATTTTTTAATCACGTAAAATCATGTATTATAATCATGTATCATCATCATGCGGAAAATGATGACGAATCATCAAATGTGGTGGATACCCTATTTTCAGAATCCATTTGGCCATTTTTTTGAATGACACCATTTAAATCATCCAATGTTTGAGAGGTTCGTCCCAAATAAATTCCATCAATTGTGTGAACCCAATTCCAATGCTTGAGGGGAAAAATTGGGTAAAGGCATGTCAAAGCATCCAATTGTCTTGGGGATGAAGGGATGAAATCAATCAATTGGGGTGACAAATCGCAAGCAAAATTGAGTCGCTGGGAACAGGGCCTGGTGCCGTCGCTTGCGCGGCTCTTGTCGTGGAGTCCCCATCTCAGCACTCGACATGATTTGGGAAAGCTGCAGATGCGTTTGAACAACAATACATTATATTATATATATACGATTATATATATACGATTATATATATATACGATTATATATATATGTATACATACATATAGTATATCATATGTATATAATATGTGTATATATATATATATATACATATATATATATACATATACAATACAGATATATATATATATATATGTGCGGGCGGCACCTTTGGGGTATATTTCGTTTGTTCCGTGAGAACTCTCATATGTGCAATTTGCATTTCGGTTTATTTACAGGCATGTGCACAACAGCGCCCTGGGAATGTATTAACCATTGTAGATGTACTCGAGGAGGTAAAATACATTGTAAATAGACCTGGTTTCTACTAATAAGTGTTGATTTTGCTGCTGCTAAATTTCTGTCCTGAAATCAAGTAAGATAATCGAAGTGCTCATAACCTTCTTTTCTGCATCTACCTGCCACAGAGAAGTGACGACTAGGTTACCCTACATACTGATTCTCTTGTCGCAGCTTCTGTAACTGCTGTTTCTTCTTGTTCTGTTTGTGTCATGTTTGGTCCGTTTTCCCCAGTCAGGTGAGGGTTGTTAAATTTTATATTAGCCCGCACGCCTTCCTTCCTCCTCCTTCCTCCTCCTTCGTCCGGGGCCGGATCAGAGCGTTCGGCGCCGGACCTCCACCGTGCCACCGCAAGCTCCGGATCAAGTTGTGTTCCCCGCCGGACCGAAGAACCACGAAGAAACTCCGAAGATATACCAGATACATATGCATCATATGCCAGAAAGAATGTCAGATAGAATGCCAGATAAAGTGCCAGAAGAGATGCCAGAAAGAATTTCGGAAAGAATTTCAGAATAGATGTCAGAATAGATGCCAGAAAGAATGCCAGAATTGAATGTCAGAAAATATATGCCATATATATACTTTCAGATGAGGTATCATTAATTATGACAAAATAATGTCACCGTGGGGATCCCTCGAACTAAAGTAATTAATTAATTTGTTTTCCCTTGTTTGGTTCCCTCTTCTTATTCCTCTTCCTCGTTCTTGTCCTGTGTTTTCTTCCATGTTCCTCTTCCTTGTTCATTTGTCATATTCCTTCCTCTTGCATCTCTTTTCCTCTTTTTATTACCGTTCCTTGGTTCTCTTCCTGCTCTTCTTCCTTGTCCTTTTCATGTTTGACTTTGTTCTTTCTCTGACCCTTCCATGCCCTCTTTTTTTTGAGAGCGGGGGACTGTGGGAGCGCGTTTTTTTGTTAGTTTTACAGCAAGTTGTTGGTGCTAATTGTTCATAAACATCAGCGTGCCTAATGTCTCTGCCAAAATGTTCATCCAAATGAAGACGCCACCAACCAAAAACATCCAAAAACTACAAATGGACGATGGGAGGGAGACAATATGAGAGACTGCCACACCCTAGTAAGATCTAGTAAGCTAAACTATGTTTAAACAGTTGCAAATGCAACCCTTAAATCACCCTTGCAAATTATGAGGCATTCATGGAAACATATAGTGTTACTTTGGCAGAAGCGATGTCTTCGTTTCACACTATACCTTTCATTCATAAGCTGCATTTTTTCGTCCAAGGCAATGCATTACTTCTTTCAAGAAGTAGTATCCCTACGGATTGAGGGTTCCCTCAAAACATGCAGCGTTCGTTTCTGTAGAAGTGCAGTCTTCCAAAACATTGTAATATTAGGCATTCAGTATTGCTGTCAAAAGGAGCAATGGTCGATGCACGTTGCAGCAATCCTTGGTCGAACTCGATTACTCTTGAAGGAACATACTGCTTCCAGGTTGCAGCCTGCCTTGAAGACAAGACATATATTCCTTAAATAATAAAGAATATTCTTGAAGAAAACTGTAATGTGTGGAAAGATGCAATACATCCTTCAAAGGTAAGCCTCATTTTCATTTTTCTGCATGATATTTGCTTTTAAAGGAAAAAAATCATTTCTTTATATAAAATAATTGCTTTGAAGACAAGATAATCCCTGAAACAACAAACAATATTCTTGCAGAAATACAACATGCGAACAGGTGCAATATGTGCTCAATGAAGTTAAGCCTCTCCCATTTTTGTTGCATGAGATTGGTTTGTATTTGTAACGTGTTTTTTTTTTTAATGGTGCTTGTATTTTTCGGTTGTTTCACTCATATGGAAGGGGCATGTTTCATACGTTGTAATGACTACCTGTCTCTTTCTAAACATATTATAGGTACACTTCTACTTCATAGTAATATTTTCTTCATATTATTGCATGTTTTTCAATCAAATGGTTCACAGCCTTGTCAAGGAAACTTTTAACATACCGGCACCAACACTTTCTTTAAGGATTACAATGATCATTAAGAATAGGTACTCAAAAGATTCAATTCTGAAATGTTGCTGTCCTTCTTCCATAGATTCCTTTACCTCTTTCAAAAGAACTTTGATAAGCTGTCTCTTTGAACATGACTTTAGATTCCTTTCAAAGAAAATCTACACTCCCTTCTTTAGGGAACTGTGCAAAATAATTCCACTTTATGCACGGAATGATGTGACTTCATGCAAGACATGTCATATTCTTAGAACACATATTGCTGCACATGGCATGTATTGAAGGATTTTGCTTTGAAAACAAACTTTAAAGAACATGCTGAAATTTGTTTGCTGATTCTGTTTTCAAGTCTTGGCTGTGCTGTATTTCCTCTCAGGGTTTCAAGTAACTTTCTGCGAAGGTGCCCAAACCATGAGAAAATCAGCAAAAAAATGCGCACCTGGATGATGTCCATGAGATGCGGCTGAGTAGACATGGACAATGGCCCCTGTCCTTTGGTAATATTAGTAAAAACGTCCATAAAACCAAACAAAAACTAAAGCAAAAAACAACCCTATGACCCTATGTCCCAACCACTCATGGACCTCCATTGCCTTCTTTTGTTTTGTTTTTTGACAAGTTGGGGCAGAAGTTGCAAAAAGCCTGGAGAAAACAAAACACACACACTAGATCACTAGACAAGAATTGATTTTTTAAGTGATCCGATGGGAACTGAATCCCCTCACGTGCAATTAGATTAGAAACGATAAACCAAGAAGTAGTATTCGAATAATATGAATGAATAAACACTGCAGGCACGTCAAAGGGACGTCTCCCTTTGATATCACTGTGACTTCTGGCCGTCTTCGCGGGGACAGGAACCAGAGTCACACCTGTGCCCCCTGCAAGAAGGAAGGAAAAAGAAAAAAGGATAGGTTTTACATCTATTCAGATGGTACACACACACAAAGAAAAACACAAAAGACAAAAAAATCAACGGTGTCCATGAGTGGTTGGGACATAGGGTTAGATTTTGTTGTGTTTAATATAGGCTAAAGTTTCACAAGTTAATTCATGTGTAATTTTTCATTATAATTGAATATTTTGAGGTTTTTGAAACTAAGTCATGTATGCAGAAAGTAGCACTCCCACAGGCCCCTGTTCTGTTTTTGTTGCCTGTCCATTTCCGAGACTGATGTGGCACTCCAGCCGTAACCAAAAAAAACTCCTTCATGTATCTTCATGTCATGATTCATGTCCGGTTCAAGCTGAACAATGTTTATACAATGTCTATAAAACGGCTTCCTTCCTGACCTCCATCTTTTTCTTCCGCCTTTTCACTTTTTGTCCGCTCCTTTTCCTTCGTCCTTTCGCTCTTCCTTTTCATGTTCATCATCTTCTTCTTCTACTCCCTTTGCCTTTGTCCCCTTCATGTCACAATGTTCCTATTTTTGCTGCTCTTCCGTGCCTCTTGAACTTTTGCCTTTCCACTTTTTCGAAGACGTACAAGACCTCCCGCAGTCCCAAAAAAAGATTTTCGTGCACGATACACACTATACATAGTATCAATTCGACCTCGCCCTCTTTTTTTTCTGTCGTTTGACGTCGTTTGTCTTCTTTATTTTGTGTTCCCTCTTCCTTTTCTTTTTTGCTTGGCTCTTCTCATTTATTTGTAGTGTCCTCTTTCCATATTTCTTTCATGCCTGTCCCTGTCCAACATTGGAAAGGCGGAACAATCCCGGGCCCCTTCACGTAGGATACAGGATACGTGCCTTATACTTGAGAGAACATATTTATTTCCTTTCCAGCTTGCATCTTCGTCCTATGCTGTTATGTTTTCTCCACCTTGCACTTGCATCTTTCTTGTCATCTTCCCGTTTCCAACTTTGGCACAGCCCCACCCCCATCCGAAAATGGATTCCATACCGCATGGCTTACACTACGTTTGACAACCTCTTCCCTTTCCGTGTTCATCTTCCGTCTCTTCTTTGTTATTCTCTCCCTCGTTTTTTCTTCCTCTTTGTTTCATCTTCTCTCTTCCCTGTCTTACTCTACTTCCTTGTCGCCTCTCTGCCCTTCCTCGGCCAAGGTGAACGGGCAATGGCACGGCGGCAAAATAGGTACTCCCGCGTGTGATGAAGACTATACACATTCCTCTTGTCTCCTTGTTTTAACCGTTGCAACTTCCTTTTCTTATCTCTTTTCTTTTTCCTTTTGCACTTCTTGTTCCAATTGCCTCCTGCTTGTTTTTTTCCATTTTTCTATTCCCTTTCCGTGTCCTCCTCTCTCTTCCTCTTTGTCCTCGCCCTCTTCCTTTTCCTTGCTCATGCTCCTACTCTTTCGAATGTGTTCTTGGTCCTCGTCTACACCAGAAGGAATTAAAATTACAAAGCGGAAACCTGAAGATGAAAATGGAACACACACACACACAATGTGGAACAGGAAAATGAACATTGGACATGCCAAGGATAAGTAAAATACAAAGGAGCATGACAAGTAAACGCTTGTAAGAATTGTGCAGTGCATGCGGCATATTTGTCAGACCGTTCCAGGGAAAATGAGGAAAAGGACAAGGGCAAGAAAGGAAAGGAAGTAAGAAGTGAAAATGAAAAGGCAAAAGGAATAGGGAAGAGGAATTGAAATCAGAACTGGAAAGAGGGAGTGGAGGAGGGCAAAAAAAAGAAGTGAACTTCATATCACATATGTTTTAGTTTTATTGTTGGCTTTATACGCCAATGCTCCATTTTTTGAGATTCTTCTTTTATCTCAACCAGCCTTGAACTTTCCTTCTCATTGCCATCTGCGTACATCGATTTGCTGGTGTTTGTTGAGTTTGTCCTTCTGCTCTAAACGTATTAAAAGTATTAAAAGTATTAATTCTCCAGGATTTGGGGACTCCAAAGGATACGCAATTTGGAGTCCGTGATTTTTAAAAAGTACTAAAAGTATTAAAAGTCTTCAGAATCTGGAAGATTAATACTTTTAAATATCAAGGACATCAGATTTCTGGAACCTTGGAATCTGGAAACCCTGGAGGATTAATATTTTGAATACGTTTAATACTTTTTATACTTTGAATGCCGTAAAAGTATTAAACGTATTAAACGTTCTAGGGCCCTGGAGGATTAATACGTTTAATACTTTTAATGCCTTTCAAAGTATTAAACGTATTAAAAGTATGAAACAAAATTATCCTCCAGGGTCTGGGGACTCAGGACACGACAAAAAATTATCAGGTCCAGCAGGTCCATAATATGACCTCAAGGTCCCTCATACATGTATGTATATATATATATACATATGTACATATATTTATATATTTATTTATTTATACATGTATGGCTGCAGCTCAAAATGTAAGGTCCCGATCCATACCGTGGACCCACAGGCGATCCATACCCCCGATCCATACCCTTTTGAAGAGATGGAATTCATTTGAGATCATTTGCGTAGCTCCTTCGTTCCATACGTCCGGATCACCGCGTAACGATCCATACCCGTTTTTTGATTTTTTGAGACATAGCCATATTAGATATATATATATACATATAATGGCTAATTGATTGGATTGATTGTATAAGTGCATATTATGATACACGTATTTATATATATATATACATATAATAACTAATTGATTGGATTGATTGTATAAATGCATATACATATGATACACGTATTTATATACATATATATATAATAACTAATTGATTGGATTGATTGTATAAGTGCATATACATATGATACACGTATTTACATATATGTATATATATGTAGTTTTCCCTGGAACGTAATTGGACATGTGGAAAGAGGACTCAGAGTTCACTGGTTGTTTGTGTTGAACCAGCGTGCTCCCGAGATTTGGAACCTTCCATGCTTGGCCCCAGTCTCAGCCAGTCTCAGTGGCATGGAATCCATGGAATCCATAATGCACTGAGGTGGAAGCCCGGGCAATGCCGCAGAAGGATGGTTCGGTGCAACTGATGTCTGACCGAAAGATACTGGTGCGAAAGTTTGCCGACTGCCTCAAGGCTGGGACTTGGATCCCTGACGTTCCCTGTTACCGGCAATCAAAACATATCAAAACACATCATTGTCGGAAATTCATAAGCTGAAACAGGTAGAGACATATAAAACCATGGTGCTTGAATGAAGACTTGGATGAACTTGGTGTATCTTTGCAGCCTTTGCAGGTCTTGGGCTGGCAAGGCGGTGGTGACCAGGTGCAGCAGCAGCATCCAGATGCCATAAGCCTTGCGAGTCATCGCTTCATGCGACAGGCGGAGATGCTGTCAGCCCTGGACTACTACAACGCTGGCTTCATTTCTGAGGCCGTGGCAAATCTTGAGATTTACCCGATAGAGAAGGTTTGACATGTTCAGGCGATGTTAGGCGGTTAGACAGTTCTAGAATGTAAGTCTTCCTCGGTTTTGGATGCACAGCTATGCTCGAGTTTTATTCCTTCTGTTTGGCGGGATTGGCGGGATTGTTAATGTCCAAGAGCCATGGCCCTGCTTCTGCCAACACGGTCCGAGACGATGATATTGGTGTGTGAAGATGTGGAGTATGCAAGAAACCTTTATATGATTTCTTTACAAAATTTGTCCTGGTTCAGACTTTTTTATGGGGGATGGGTTTTGACCAATGATTCAATGGGACCAGGAGAATTAGTGTCTATGTCAGACATGTATGGGTTTGGCAGGCGATTTTTTGGGTTTGCTGTGTGTGAGGTGGGTTCATTCTGTATTTTGTTTTCCACCAATGTTTGGCTGGGCAACTCGTTCCATCCCTGCCCGCAACATAGAAAGAAGTGCTTGCCAATCATTTGCAGAGATTAGCTGCCAGTACGTTGGATGATTTTGGATTGGTAAAACCAGGGTAGAGACCAATGGCAGTACCATCCCCAGATGGTTTCCCCGCCTGAGATTCTGTCGCATCAGGCTGACCTATACTGGCTAGACACTTGGGACCGGCCCAGTGCATCATTTTGCGCATGGCGAGAATTCCCTGAAAAGGGCATTGCAAAATCCGCGACATAGGGGGGGGTCGCTCTTGGTTTGCGTGTCTTATACGTATTTACACTGGTATATGTTTAGTTAGATCTTGTGTATATGATATAATTATCATATCACAATATTATATAATGAATTATAATGATATCATATCATATAATATGATATAATATATTCTATTATATTATATATAGCCTGTATTAATTATATAGCCATAGCACGTTTGCGTCCAGGAGCCACCTCTTTTCCTGACAGCAGAGGCTTCGGAGGAGGCCCGATGTCAGAGCTGGGCGGATTTGCGGCCCATGGTTGGTAGCTAGGACAGACAGACAGTTGGTAGCTAGTATAAGTATAGTGAAGCGATGTCAATTGGGTGTGTTTGAAAACAGGGTATCTCCCCACAACCCCATAAATAGTTATTTTATGTTAAGATGTTTTAAGATATGTTGAATGGGAAAATGATGAGAATTGAATGGATTTGGGGGCACACGATTTTCAGAGAAACCCAACTGGGTGTAACCAATTAACTGAGCGGGATGCTGTGATCTTCCGCAAGGCGTGGAATGAGATCAGAGACAGCTTGCTGGAACGCTTTGGATGGGGACTTAATATGATTTGACTAGACTTGATTACTCTTGATTTATCAGAAGATTTCAAGATGAACATATCAATAGATATCCATTGAAGTCCCGCTGACAGCTGGGAAGAAACTGAGGAACACCCTTGAATGCTTGGCGGCATCTGGACGTTGACGGGCAAAACGAGGTGGATGCTCAGTTGTTTGTAGCGATGCTGCTACATACCAGCTGTCTTGAACGCCTCAGTGTTCAGGTCTCATGGGCCGAATTTGTTGCTGGTTGCAGGCCGCATTTGCCTCTGAATTGCTTTGTGTGATGTAAAATGAACTTAGTTGACTCCGATGCAATAGTCTCACAAGTTGCAAAAGTTGCGCAAGTCACAAGCAAGACTCAGCCTTGTGACAGGCGGATAAGATATAAAGGTGACACTGGGGCAGCCTGGAGATGCTTGTCTATAGAACATGTCAAACATGTCAGAACTGGTTTAGAATGTTTTGAAGAACGTTTTGACTGTCAAAGCAATGGAGTTTGTTACAGTACCAGTCTCTTGGTTTGTGCGAAGTGCTCACAGCATCTCACAACATTTGCACCGAGCGAGCACCCATGAAAATCCTTGAATTTCCACACTGAAACGCCCTTCATGATACTTGCGGCAGTCACTTCTGGACATCTTTACCGTCTTTACCCGTTTTCTGTGTTTTTCTATGTTGTTCTTCATTTCCCTCGTGCTGGCATTGGAAGGTTGAATAGCAAGATGATGTGAACTGTTATAGATGTTTTCCCTCATGTTTGCTGCCGGACATTGCCTGAGACTTGAGGATTCATCGATAATGATGCTTCAGGATACATTAGCATGGAAGAGTTCAGCCCAGAGCACTACAATGTACTGATGTCCTTCAAGGAATGGGCATCCGGCTTGTATGGCTCTGTGGGCAATGCCTTCAAGAACTTTGATAAAGAAGGTGACGGGGCTCTGACATTGAGTATCTTGAGGCGAGCATGTCAGAAGGGAAAATGGAGTGGCGATCCCCAGTTGCTTTTTGATTCCGTCGGACCCAGTGGCCCAGTGAGGGACAACAAACTCAAGCAGATCACGGTGGATGACGTTTCCTTTCTGGATCTCTGGCCAGATCGAGAAGATCGAGATCAGGATGATCAAGGGGTCGAGGGGGTCGAAGCAGAGGCTGACGAGCTCATTGCCGAGGAACCCAAGCAAGGGGCACAGGCAGCGCAGGCGGCGCAGGCGACGGCCGAAGATACCAAGGCGCTGAAGTTGACGCCCACGGTCTTCGAGCGCCTCTATGCTCCGGCTCCGGTGAAGCGTTGTGCATCGGCTCCGACACTGGCTCCAGCCTTAGATTTGGACCTCCAAAGTGGCCGACTGTTACCATGATACTTACGTGATTCTACGCACTGATTCTTGCTGCATATTTCTTCAGGCAGAATCTGGCGAGACACTGTATCTAGCAAGATCTAGCAAGTTTGATTTGGTACCACCATTGCCACCATTGCTGGATGCTAAGAAGAAAGAGGAGGTCCGAAAATCTGAGCAGAAAGCGAAGCAAGTACAGAGGCTGTTTTTTTTACGTTTTTTGTTGCACATACATGCACATACGGTATCACAAGATTTTGCCATTCTGGCATTAAAACGCATGGCAATCATTGCCCATCTATGGCACTATCACGGCCAGGACGTACCACTACAACCACTGTCACACTCAACTCAAAGCTAGACAGCGGCAGCCAAAGACTGCGAAAGGCAAGCTGCCTTGGCTGGCCTTTGCCTCAGAGTTCAAGAGGACATTGATATTTCAAGACAGTGATATTGAGGACATCGAGGACAGTGCCTGGAAACAGTGTATCACAGATCTTGAGGACACTGACATTTCAAGATGTACACAGACAGTCTCTATCTGGATGCCAATCTATATCGTATATAATCATATTATATAATATTATATATATATATATGATATTCATCAATCTCAGCGATAAAATTATGTGCCGTAGCGGAACTAAACACGTGCCCCAGCTGCTTCCAGGAAAAACTCTACAGGATCAGCCACGAGCCAATTCCCGCCACAGATGCGCAAACACGTCATAACCCAGTTCATTGAGTTGGGACAATGCTCTGCAATCTCAGGGACTGGCATAGACCTGGCAACCCAGGCAGAAAAACAGAGATGAAAAATGATGAAACGATGTAATATGTCCAAACAGTTGAAGTAAAAGGCATCAATGTGTTTTGTTTACATTCCATGTCATTCAGGTCCTGAACTTAATCTCGAGAACGCACACCGAAATATATCCGGCTTCTTTCATGGACAAGATATAGATGTTGGAAAAAGTTGTGATGTTTTTTCTGTATGGGGCCGTTGAACCACAAGGTCGGAGGTCAATATGGCTGGAAAACGGCCAGTTGGGGTAGCTGCACATGTGTCCAGTGTGGGCAGCAGTGCTTTTTTTTTTGCAATGGTTCAGTCAGGAAAATGTGGGAACCTCAGTTTCACAGACATCATGCTGGCAAATGCCAGTGCAAATGCGTAGAAAAGATCGTTCGAAAACAGGAGCACCGTCAAAGATCTCCCTTTTGCGCTTGATTTTGAACGGCGGATGGGAATCTACAATCTACAGTTCACAATGTTGGACGCCTCTTTCAAATGCAACATTGTGTTCATTCGAGTTAGCGATCCAATCTTTTGCTCGCCATTGCTTTCAAATTCATCATCAGCAGCCAAAGCATTACTTGATCAATCTTGATCATACTTCTCAGTTGGGTTGCAAGTGACATGTTTATGGTAACGTCTCTCATCACACCTAAAGAAATCATAGGCCCAGCCCCACTTTCAATCCTGCAGAGACCAGTAAATGAGCGATGCTTCGTCAAGCCCACAAGGCACTCCCAAAGGTTAATTCCACTACTACAGCAATGATTCAAGCTGCCAAGAATTGTCATCAACGTGTTCAGAATTTGTTTTTTGTTTTTCCCCATCATGTCAGAGGCAAAGGCTATGAGCTTCTATAGTTTCGGAACATGTTGTAAGGCAGCTTCAAATGTTATGAGGTTCAAAGTTCAGGATTCCCAGAGACACACAAGAGGCCCGCCACAAGGTTTGAGACGGCAAACATTGATTTCGGTTTCTATGCGATCATGTTTAGTTTTTGTCGGGCATAATTCATATTTGTGGGACAGTATTCTATACTTTTTTTCATACTTCTCCCTGATCATAATTTGTCGAAAAATAGAGACGAAGAACGTGTTTCCACGGGTCATCTGTTGATTGTTCAATTGTCACTGGCGAATCCTCGGCCGGAATGGAAACTTCCTGACCTTGAGGTCTCAGGCTTGGTCCTTAGTTTACCAAGCACAGAACATCGTTTTGGCATATGCATGGTTTCCCTCATGACTGGACACCCGTGATGCACCTGCAGAACATTGCATAATGGCACCTGCAGAAAAGTTGCTTCAGCGCCCTGGTCCTTCAGAATTACAGATGGATGGAAAAACCCTTTAGGACCCAGTGTGGTTACAGAAAAAAGGAAGCACGCTTCCATTGAGCTAAGTTGTCTGAAAAAAAGTGATGAAAAGTGCACGAAGGTGCAGAAGGCAAATGTTGAGGACTGCTCTGGTCGTGAAATTCGGCAACAGTTTGTACAGCTAAGTTCAGCTTGTGCATTCCAGGTGGGTTGCTCCATTGGTGGAGAGCTTAGGAGGCAACTGCCACAGCAAATGAGCGATGCTTCGTCAAGCCCACAAGGCGCGCTCCCAAAGGTTAATTCCACTACTACTGCAGTGATTCAAGCTGTCAAAAATCGTCATCAACGTGTTCAGATTTTGCTTTTTGCTATCATGCCAGAGTCAAAGGCTACTGTACGAGATAGTTCATTCACATTCGACATATTTCGACATTTGCGCGGCATTGCAACCATTCTAATCCTACCAGAGCTTCAATTCCCAGAGTAAGGGAGTTCACGCAGGGATTTGCCACTTCATCACTGCTCAGGCAAGGTGTGATCAGTGTGGGTCTCCATGTATGACGGAAAAAAATCCGTCACTTTTCAAAGAGGAAAAAGAGAGCAGGTCGTGGCACGTGAGAAAGCTGGAACTACAGTTGTCCAGGACCAAGTGGGCCACAGGGTAGTACTTGAGAGCCTGGGATGCTGGGAAAGCGTTAACATTGAGTATACATTGAGTCAACATGGACATCGGGATGTGTCTGAAAATGGGAAGCATGCCCAGAAGGAATCACCATTTTAGATAGCTTAGTGGAAAACCTGTTTTCAGGCAAACCCAAACTATCCAAACTTCAGAGGTTCTTCCATGTTCGGAGATGCTTCAGGTGCCTTACTGATGATATCGTCGAATTTCCTCCCTTTGGCTTCTACAACGTCCTGATCAATCCCGCGAATGAGGCAGCGATGTGCATTCTGTTCATTCCATGTCGACAATGCACATCTGGGTGTGTCTGCAAATAGGGTATACGCCCAACTGTTAATTTGAATGGGGAAGCTGATAGTCAACTATTGGATCTTGTGGTACCCTATTTTCAGACAAACACACATGTGCTGTGCTGTTTGAGTTAGATATGTTAGATAGTCAGAAGCTCCACCGAAAGCGTCCCACGAAAACATCCTGACAGCCAAGGCCTTGGTTGGCACCAAGCTTCCTTACTTCCCGATGCAAGTTGAACCCCCACCAGAGCTACGCAATTCAAGGTGCTGGAGAGACCGAGCACAGTTGTCACATCCGACTCCTGTGAAGCCTGTGAAGTGCAGCGTTTGTAAGTTGCCTTGACTTCAGGTGGTGTGGAATGGAAGCTGGATCATCTATGTTCTATCCCATGCAGGCTCACTGCAGAACAATGTCACACGTGACTTGTTTCTGAATTTTCTGATGGATTCTGATGGTTTTGATTTGTAGAAAGATAAACAATTAGATCATTTAGCACATATTCAGAAACATTGTAGTTGTAATATTCTGATATATTCTGAAGAACTGCTTGCCAGGTTGTGGATGGTCGAGTCCATCGATTGGGTGGATCTTCTTTGAGAGAGGCCCCCGGGAGTTAATTCCCGCCTGCGCTGCAGCGCTGCTTTGGATTCAGTTTGATTAGGCCTGCGAGAGACTTCCAGACCGCTCTCCTGGGGTGAAGTGTCCTACAGGCCCTTGCTGAAGCGTTGATATGCCGGTGTTTGTTCATCACCTGAACTATCCTGAACCCATGGTTTTGTAGCTTTGCTGCTTGTCTGTTTGCAAGGGTTTTATTGATCCTTGCACTCACTCATATAACTGCTACTCGTATGCGACTATGCACTGAAGCGTTTCCCAGTTGTCATGGATAGCTGCAGCGTAGAGTCCAATGCGGACGCGTTTCACTACCAGCTGTGCACCGTGAATGGACTTTTACAGGAGAAGCTGTGGTGACAGAAGCGCGCTCATGTAGCCCCAGTCCATTCTGCCGCTGATTTTCGAAGCAGCCACAAGCAGATTCTATTTTCAAGACACGATTTCTGCTCGGAGTTGCCTTAAGGATCCTTAAAGTGGTTGTGATCTTGTGCATTGTGCATGCTACTGGATGTTGCAGAACTCTGAGGCAACCGCGGGCCTAAGAATGTATTTTGAGCATATTGTTCATGCTGTCCCGTATCAGCCTAAGCAGACCAGGGTGAGGGGGAACAGAGATAACAGAGCCTACAGGCCTCCACATACGAAAGGTAGGATTTGACTTGAGGAAGGGGCGATCAATAAACGGTGAGTCAGAAAACAAGCGGGGATGGGGATGGTGTTTTAAAAAGAATGCGGGTTGAAATTGACAAATACGAATGAATGTCCGGAAGATGGAGGCAGCACTGTAGGGTGCTCTGGGAGGGTGATCAAAGAATGTATCTATGATTCTAAAGATCCGGTTTGTTGTTGCATACTGTGATTGCCGATGGCAGAACATGCTCTTGGTATCTCTTGGTACTGGTATGAATCTATAATTCATATTACTGTAAATAATTAACTATAATCTATTATAGGTGTAGCACTGTGTAGCAGGTGATGCAGGTGCTTTTCCTTTGTTGATCTCTTTCCATCCCCTGCGCTGTAACGTACCAAAAACAGTGCGCTGCATCAGCCACGCTTGGATCCTCCAAGGCCAATGTATACTTCACCGACTTGGGAAAGATGTTTGTCACTCTGCTGGCAGGCCCCTGGTGAAGTCACCATCGCTGCACTCAGTGGGTTCAACACATGGCAGGCTGCTTTGGAAAAGGCCTGGAGTTGTGGAAGCGCGCCAACGGTCACCAGCCCATTGCTTGGGGCTGGTGCCCGCGGCGCACCTGTAGAGGAGGCCGCGACGATTAGAAGATGGTGACATTTTTCACACGACAACGATGATCATGAGATATCATGAGAAGCTAGAAATTCTTGGTGAGTTGCTTGTTGTTGCTTGTTTGTATTGGTTTCAGTTGGAAATTGCGCTTTGATATTATGAGAGCCATGCCAGGCAGCTCGAGTTGGGGCGAAAGCAATTGCAACCTGGGCTCAAGCTGCAGAAGGACTCAGTTGTTTGTTGGGATTCGATTTGAGATCCTCGCTGCAGATGTTGTTTGTTGCGAGACTATGAGAAGCCAGCATGGTGACTTGCCATGACCGAAAATTCCGAGATGCGCATGTCAGGAATTCTTTGCTTGGCGAGAGTCTTACATTTGTACTGGACAAAGGGACTGTTGCATCAAAGTTTGTATGCGGAATGAATGGATACAATGTTTAGCACGGTTATGATGTGCTTCAACAGAGTGTTTTCCATGGTCCAACGGATGAAATTGGAAATGGCAGACATGCTTTCATCAGCTGAAAAAGCTGTAGGGGTATCGTTATAGGCAAAGCAGATGAAGCACCAGGTATCAGAAACAATCAGAAAACATCTGATACAGTAAATCCATCTATAATTCATCTCTATATATATACATATATATAGATACATATATATATATATACATATATATATATACATATATATATACATATATATATATACATATACACAACTCCCATGAGACATACATCAAAACTTGTCGTTAAATAACGATGAACCATGGCAACCATGGAATAAATCCAATCTGGACACCTCTAATGTTCAATCATTCAGGACAGCCTGGCCCTGCTTTGGGTAGGAGTCTGTACTAGAAATTCTGCTTGCTTGTTTGCAGCAGGTTCTATTGAGAGACAAGTTCAAGAAATGGAATCCATGACTGTGCTTAACAACCTGATTCCTGATGCGGAGGTTCAGTATATCCCAAAGAATGCCAAGACATACCGGTAGTACCGCACAAGGCGGTGGCGGAAGTTTCAAAGATAGGATGCTATAGGAGAGGTGAGTTGCTGAGATGCATGGATGGCAGGGCAAATCCACTGATGGACCGAAAGGTAGTTGGAGTTGTGTTTTTTGGAGTGGTTGCAATGGTTGCAGTGGTCACCTCACCCACAACTGCTGGATGTAGTGTGGTGTAGTGCAGTTGTAGTTGTAGTTGTGGTTGTAGCGTAGTGGAGTTGTAGTTGTAGCGCAGTGGAATTCGTGTAGTGTAGTTGCAGTTGTAGTTGTGATGTGGTGTAATTAGTGCAATGTAGTGTAGTGTACTGTAGTGTAGCTGTAGTTGCAGCTATAGTAGCAGTAGTAGCAGCTACTGTAGTCGTAGCTGTAGCTGCAGTTGTAGTGCAATTAGTGTAGTGTAGTGCAATGAGTGTAGCGTACTGTAGTGTAATTAGTCTAGCGCAATGTAGCGCAATGTGTTTGTAGTTGTAGCTGTTGTTGTAGTGTAGTGTAAAGTAATTAGTGTAGTGCAGTGTCATGTAGTGCAGTGTAGTGTAGCTGTAGTGTAGTGTTGTGTTGTGTAGTGTAGTTTAATTAGTGTAGTGCAATGTAACAATGTAGTGTTGTCATGTAGTGCAGTGTAGTTGTAGTGTAGTGTCGTGTGGTGTGGTGTGGTGTGGTGTAGTGTAGTTGTGCTGTTATTGTTGTTGTTGTTGTTGTAGCAGTAGCAGTAGCAGTAGCAGTAGCAGTAGCAGTAGCAGTAGTAGTAGTAGTAGTAGTAGCTGTTGCTGTTGCGGTTGTGGTGATAAGTGTGGTGTGATGTTGTGTAGCGCGTTTGTAGTTGTAGCTGTAGTAGTAGTGTAGTGGTAGTTGCAGTTGTAGTTGTCTACCTATCTATCAATCAATCTATCTCTATCTGTCTATCTATCTATCTATCTATCTCCATCTCCATCTCCATCTCCATCTCTATCTCTATCTCTATCTTATCTCTATCTATCTGTCTATCGCTATCTATCTATCTACCTACCTACCTATCTATCTCTATCTATCTATCTATCTATCTGTCTATCTGCAAGCTTGAAAACGCAGCTATTCTGCGAGACATCCTTAATTTTTGAACTTGACAACATCACAAAACGCAGCTATTCTGCGAGACATCCTTCAAATTTTGAACTTGACAACGTCAAAAACGCAGCAATTCTGCGAGACATCCTCGACTTTTGAACTTAACAACGTCAAAAACGATGCGATGCTGCCAGGCTTCCTTCAATTTTCGAAGTCGACGACATGAAAAACAACGGAATTCTGCTAGACCTCCTTCAAAAATGAAAAGTTGAGTACAGGCAGAGCTGACGACCTCGGACCAATGCAATTGCGATTTTTCCAGTCCATGTGTCTAAAGTATTGCGCCTGCCACGAAAAAGTGAAGCCAGGTCATTCGAAGTGCTCCACCCGTCATGCAAAATCATCTTAGCAAACCTGAAGATCTGATGCTCCAAAATGCAGCCCCGCTGAGGAAATCAGCGCTCTGACCTCCGAACAGCTCTGATGAACATGTCTCTTGTACTGCGCCTGCCACACGAAAGACATCTTGTCAGATCCTCTGCATATGTCCCAAGCCTGCCATCGTTTTTGAAACTGCTACAAAACCCTCACGTTTTGCTCACTTTTAGCAGGGTGCAGAATCCCTTCCAAAAGTGGCACGAACATGTGGTGGCTTTAGCATTTTCACTTCGAAATGTGCTTCGCGCGACAGCGCCGTGCACTTTTTCAACATCTCAATTCCCAAAAGCGCTCTGGACCTGAGGAGTTTGAACATTTTGACTTGGAAACGTGCTTTTCGCCACAACACCATGCACTTGTTCATCACCTCAACTTCAAAAAGTGCTCCAGACCTGAGGTGTTTTGTACATTTTGACTTGGAAATGTGCTTCGCGCCGCAACGCCGTGCACTTTTTCATCATCTCAGCTTCAAAGAGTGCTCCGAGAATGCTGTGCTTTCTACATTTCGACTTGGAAATGCGCTTCGCGCCACAACGCCGTACACTTTTCATCATCTCAACTTCAAAAAGTGCTCCGAGAATGTTGTGCTTTGTACATTTTGATTTCGAAATATGCTTGAGGCCACAACGGCGTGCATTTTTTCAACGTCGCAACTCCCAAGAGTGCTCCAAGCATGAGGTGTTTTTAGCATTTTGACTTCGAAATTCGCTTCGTGCCACAACGTCGTGCAATTTTTCATTTCTCATCAGGCCAGATGGCTCCGCACCCGCCGCTTTAGCGAGCCTACTTTTCGACCCTCCGGTGCCACAAAACATTGGAAAAACAGAGTTCCGCGACTTTTCTACCTTTTCGTGCACCTGCATCTTCTTTCTTCTGACTTTCTCTTCTCTGATCTTCTTTCTTCTTTTGTTCTCTGCGCCTCTGCTTTTCCATCTTGCTTTTCCATCTGTCCATATTGTCGGAAGTTTGACGTCTAACTTCCTTCGATCATATTGTGTTTTTTGCGCTCTCTTACAGCTTTTGAAACTACTAGAAGAGGTTTGGTTTCCTTAGGTCCCACTCTTTCCCTGGCAAAAGAGAAATTCCAAGAGTCAGTCCGCGTGCAAACAAAATTGTAAATGCCAATTGGCACAGAAACTCGTGAACAAAGTCACGGCTGTTGCAAAACATGTCGCCTTTTCCATGCCCCCAAGGCCCCAAGGCACATCCATGTCACCCAGGCTTTCTGCGATGAAGCTGTTGCAACAGCAGTAGAGGTCGAGGCGCAGACAGAACCATTCTGAAACTTTCACGATAAAAGAAGCAATCAATGTTCAATTGACATATTATATCGTTTGTACTTTATAGCATTTGCCAATGTGCACAACATGTGTATATCATGTGTATATCATTCGTACGTCATTTGTATATCATGTGTATAGCATTTGTATATCATGTGTACGTAATTTGTACTGTATTTCATGTGTATAGCATGTCTATATCATGCGTACGTCATTTGTATATCATGTGTATGGCATGTGTATTTCATTTGTACGTCATTTGTATATCATGTCTATAGCATGTGTATATGATTTGTACATCACTTGCATATCATGTGCAAATCATGTGTATTTCACGTGTACGTCACTTGTATTTCATGTGTATAGGATTTTTAGATCATGTGTCAGTCATTTGTATATGATGTGTATAGCATTTGTATGTCATTTGTACGTCATGTGTATATCATGCATGTAGATTCATATATTGTGTGTGTCATGTGTATAGCATGTGTACAGGTTGTGCAAATGGAACCAAAAATGAATCCCGGCGACTACAAGGCAACAAGGACAGCCAAAGACCCTGCCAGGTTCGCCGTGTGCTTGACTCGGCCGAAGGCTGCAAGAAAAGGTGTGCGAGATTGTGTCCCAACAATCCAGGGCTGTGATATGCTTTCCTTCAAGATTGACAAGGTCAGACACGGAGCTGGGATTTTGGTAAGTGCCACTGGTTCAAGATGTATATGAATAAATATATATATATAGAGATATAGATTATATATATATAGATAGGTAGATATCTATTTACATATATATATATATAGATAGGTAGATAGATAGATAGATATAGATATATATATATATAAATCGTTCGATCACGAAAGGTAGCCTAGGCTACCTGGGTTCCAGTTCCAGTTCCATGTGCTTTGGTACTTGTGGCAGTGGAGTATTTGTTCTTCTTCACATTAGGATGGCCCCATCCATTCCTAGGTCCGCCAATTTCATCCAATGGGATGATGAAATCCTTGATCATCGTGTCTTCCATTTCCGTGCCAACAGGAGGCAGCATTGGAAGATGTAAAGTAGGTAGCAGACCCCAGAGATCCCCAGAGATTATTGCACACCACTTGTAGAAGACCAACACCACTCTTAGCCTTCAGTTTGTTCAGAAGTCTCTCGTTATTTTTCAAGTTACCATTTAGTTGAAACTATGCATGTCCGCAAGACTCCAGCATTTAGAGTTTGTGCGCTACCAATGTTTTGTCCACCCCATCCCTCGCAAGTTCAAAGATGCTCAAAGTAATTCAGCGGGTGGAACCTTGATCCAGGTGATGTCTGTGTCAGGGGCATGGGTTCCTGATGCAATTTTGAACCTCAAGCTGGGGACTGCCACATAGACTGCGTCCTACTGCTGCCTGCCATGTCGTTGCAGGACCAAGAAAGACTTGTCATGTATGCCACCAGGTACTATGGCACAGTCCCCCGACATGTAGTGTTGAGGGCTGCTAAGGCAAATAGGTGGTTTCAAATCATCCTGGAACTCTTTGAAGTGTTGCAGGAGTTTCAGGTGATTTTCGGCAAAGAGATTGACAGATATTTGGCAAAAC